TTGGGGTTTAGGGTTTAGGGTTTGAGGTTCGGGGTTTAGGGTTTAGGGTTTAGGGTTTGGGGTTTGGGGTTTAGGTTTAGGGCTTAGGGTTTAATTAGGATTTAGGCTTTGAGGTTGGACTAATGGATACCAACCCATATGCCAAGATAAGGTTGCTTGCGGTCGTATTTCCCAAACTCCTTACGCTAAATCCTGAACCCTAGACCCGAAACCCCTGTACCCTAAACGCTGAACCGTCCCTACACCGAGGTTGAGGTCTGGAGGCTCACCTTTCCTTGGTGCATGACAGGAACGAGGCCCGGCCGGCAGGAATAGTACTACAGGGTTTAGGGTTTAGGCTTTGTGGCTTTATGGTTCAGCAATACAAGGACCTGTAAAATTAGAAGGGTGCATATCATAGTATAAGCATAATAAGGAACCCCCAAAACTAAAATAGTATTGGTAAATATCTAGACTCCTATGTTACGCTTAGGGCTTCGGGGATTTGGGCCTTCCGTGCTAAGCCCGCTGGCCTTTGTCCCATGCTTCTGGGGTGACTAACAAGGTTCAAGGTTTGGAGATTTGGGTTTAGGGTTTAGGGTAGGGTTTCCCTAAACCCTAAACCCTAAACGGAGATTTGAGTCTAGGGTTTAGGGTAGGGTTTCGCTAAATCCTAAACCCTACCCTAAACGGAGATTTGGGTTTAGGGTTTAGGATTTTGGGCTTAGGGTCTAGGGCACGGTTGGAGATTTTGGGTCTAGGGTTCCAGCCAGGAGCCTCACCCCCCTGAACCACAGACCCCGAATCCCTTTCGGAGAATACAGGTCCGAGTAGAGCTTGAAAACAACAACCCGGAATGCGGCTGCGGATTTACAGTTTCGAGTTCGAGGGTTTTGGCTTCTAAACCCTAAACCCTAAACCCTAAACCCCTGAAACCCTCAACCCCTAAACCCCTAAACTCCTAAACCCCTAAACCCCTAAACCCTAAACCCTAAACCCCTAAAACCCGGTCTTCTGGGTTTCAACGCTTTTTTCAGGATCCTCAAAATGGAAGGCTCCGGATGAAGCCCTCTGTGGCACACAACAGCGGAGCCGCTACCTGGAGGCCTGTACTTTGAGGTTCATGGGTGGGTTTAGTGTGGTTGTAAGTCCCCTGATATGGGTTATAAGTCTAGTTACCCTGCTTATAACCCCACTTATAACTACCCATGAACCCCCAAAAGTAGGCCTCGTCAAAATCCTCAACAAAACCCCCCCACCCCACCGTACGTAAGTCCAGTTGCCAGTCTTAAGGAACTTCGTGTATCCAGCAATTCGGTCTTCCTGCGTTCCCCAAGCAGCGGACCGAATCTCCGGGGTTCTTGCGGCTTTACAGTACTTGGAGGCTCATGGGTAGATATAAGTGGGATTATACGTCCCCTAATATGGGCTATACGTCTAGCTACCCTACTTATAACTTATAACCCATTTATAACTACCCATGAACCCCCAAGAAGGCCTTGTGGGCTTGTAGGGATTCGGGCCAGGGTTTGCGTAAAGTCTTGAAAGGCTTTTTGGAAGGGGTTCAAACTGCGTCCAGTAACTAGTGGGGAGGGTACGCGGGCTGTATAGGAGGTTCGAAAGAGTGTTGCAAAAAAAGAGCTACAAAGATGTTAGAGGGAGCCTGCACGGGTTGTAGACGGATTTTCCATGAGTTTCGGAAGGATTCATAAAGAGCTTCTATAGGGTTTGGGGCTTGGGTTTTTTTATTTGCCTGTCGTACAACCGATGAGACCCTTCTCTTCGCCAATCGCTTCAACCAATCACGAACCGTAAGGCTATGAAACGAAAAACAAGAAGACACATACACACGTGCACACACACACAC